ACATGCATCCCTTGCATTGCTTCACCCTGTACCCCTTAGTCCAGTCACAGGAAACCCCAGAGGACTACATACACACAAACACACTCACACACACAGACGCACATATAAAATGCACACTAACACCACCAACAACCTGACATAAAATAATAAAGGGAAGCCTTTATATATTTGGTTCTCCAAACTGCCTTTGTTAATGGTTTTTCATTCACTTAAGATTTGTCTTTTTAATTTGAGATATTTTTTCTATGTAAATGTTCACATTGAAATTGCTATTGGTATTATTTTCATCATGACACAATCCAACAAAAGCCGACCTCACAAAATAACTGGACTGCCTAGCTGTTGGTTCTATTTTGCAGGGATAGTAAACAGGGTTGAGGCCCAGTTCTCAGCCTCTCTAGTAACATTAGCTCTATGTACTAAAACCATATATCAAGACTATAACAATATATGAAAGTGCCTCTGTATTCCCTTCATGCAATTAGTAATAAACTTGACTTCAGGTTCTCTTCCCACATATAAGCTAAAGCTACAGGGAATGGTAGCGTTGGTGCATGTGGAAACCATTGGCCTAGGACAGATCTTTATAGAGGACTGCAAACTTTTTTTTGTAAAGACAGAGAGAGAGATCTTATACATATATATTTATGATATATGCTCCTTTTTAACTTTTACTACATGAGCTTGTTGGCAGTCTAGTTATTTTCTGAACTCTCACCCCACCCCACCCCCACAACCCGTTTCAGTAACATCACCTTACTGTTACCAGTGCGGATCAAACGACACGCCATCGCCATCTGCAGCGCAGCATTATAATACCTAGATGAACATGTCAAAAATCGACAGTAGGTTTGAAGAAAAAAAAGTGTTTGTTTTTTGATGGAAAGTATTATTATTGAAAAATATGTGTCGATTGAGCCACGTGCAATGCATTGGGTAGATCATTGTGTTTGTCTGTTAGAGATTTTTAAGAAAGCTAAGAGAAAAGAGAAAAAAAATGTATTTGTTTCAAGTCCGTAAGCTCCGGGACTCTAAACTAGAGGGCCATGAAAATCCTAGTCTTTGTAAGTTGGGGGTATTTGTTTTTATTTCCTTTGTCTCTTTTTTAATGTTTTATGTGTAATCAGTTGTTTATAAAAATGTGGGAGGGCTGAAGGAAAAAAAATTCTACACAACTTGAGAAAAAGAATTCTCTATCATCAGATGAAAACTGGTGCTTTAACACTATAAAGTACATTCAGAACTATTGTAAATGAATGGTAATGAACAAAAATAACAGACCATTTAGGAAACAGCATTATTCCTCTCTCTATTTTTATTCTTCTTCTATTTGTATTGAGTGGGGGGAGAGGTTCCTATTCCTTAAGGTTGTGACACAAAAGGCATTTTGGTTCAACCTTTAGAAAAAAGAAAAAAAAAACCTATACTGTCAAGCCTAAGAAACTCTTCAAATAAGTTAAGTTACCCATGCACTGCCTGAAACTCACCAGCAAAAAAAACAACCCTCCCAATTTAAATCATTTTTATCACATACATTGGCATAAACACACGACAAGTTTCTCCCTGTTCTGCGGGAGATGCTTCACATCCAGAAATCTTTTATTCCCATGATCATTTTGACATGTTTCTGAATCTCGTGCTGGATAAAATTCAGCAGGTTGTGTTGAGACCCACATACAATGGAAAGAGTATTAGGTAAGGCCTTCTGTCTCCTGCACAGATAACAAAAGGGGGGGAAAAGTAGCTTGAAATCGGGCAAAAATATGAGGTCTGAACCATTTATGAAGCAGGCAGCAAGGTGAGCCTCTCCCCTGTTCCACCCCCTCCTCTGTAAATGACTCTTATAGTGCTTGTGCTGTAGTGTATAGTTTCCCAGCAGTTAAAGGTTGTCCCTTAAAAGTGCCTTTTGTTCACAGACTCCATTTTGTAATCCAGATCGCCCCTTTTTTTCGAAACGGCTCGAGGTAGCAGGTAGCCCCTGAGTGCCGCAAGGAGGCAAAAGGTCATCGCCCATTCAGCGCTCAGGGACAACTTTTACTTCCTCCGCCTTCGAAATGAATCCCCCTCCATTGTACCTCCCCTATATCCTCTCTTCCTTTTCAAAGCCGTATATATATATATATATATAGTACAAAAGGAAACTGGTGTGAATTAGTTCTTTACTTTTTATTGATAAATGATGACAAAAACTTTTTTTGAAAAGGCAAAAAAACTTGTTCTCGTTCAGCTCTTGCTTTTTTCTTCCCCTCTGTCTCCACTGTCTGTTTTCTCTTAGACACTGGAGTAGTCTGTAACTGTGTGTCCGTCACTCTCTGTCTCTCTCTCTCTCTCTCTCTATCTCTCTCTCTCTCTCTCTCCTGCCCTCTCCGCTGTTGGGAGGGAGAAAAAAAAAATTGCCGAAAAACTTTTGTCTGAGCAGAATGCAGTTAGCTCACATGTTATTCTTGTCTGTATGCTTCACATTGTATTACCATACCCATCTTCTTCAGCTTCTCCATTCAACAGCTAATGTAAGTGAACAAATTACGCTGATGGGCTTTTGGGGGTGTCCTTGGGTGGGTTAGGAAGGGATGACAGGGGTTCAGGGGTTTGGGTTAAAGAGGTTTAAGATTAACGGGGTTGAGAGGGCTGGATGAACTGCTTTGGGATGTTGGAAAGGGGCTGCTTTGACTAGGATAAGAGTTTGCTCTTTTGTTTTAGCTATTTATTTTTGGCTTTTTTTTATTTCCCCCATTTTTATTTGTTTTCCTTTTAATTTGGATTTCTTTGAATATTTGCTATCAGGGTATGCTGTCGTTTAGGCTCTCTTTGTGGATGCCTTGGACTGTAAATGAAAGCTACAAGCACCTTATAACCGGACTTGTCCTGCACGAGGCTGAAAGAGGGGGGTTGCATTTCCAGGACATATCCCACATCCATTCAAACCAATATTTTAAAGTATTATTGTTCTTGGTGGGCTTCACACAGTGAAACCCTCAGCAGTATTAGCCATTTACAACACACCAACCAGATAGATAAAAAGCCAGCATGAACCTGATCTCTCAGATTTCTTGAGGATTCAGGAAAGTCCCTCCATTTTTTCTCCTCTGACCACCTCATGCTGGACTGCTCCGTGTCTTTGTTCTGTTGTTTATTTTGTTCTTTATCTTCTTAAGCGTGTATGGTTATTGGTGTAATAGGCAGCACCCTACGCCCCCTGACTCCCAGCTCTGCTATGCCTCTGTCTACGCCCTCAGTGCAGCACCACTTCTTTGTGAGAACACCCCCAGAGCTCTAGGTGAAATGCATGTGTTAATTACAGTTTCTTTTCCATAAGAAGAAAAACACAGTTTGAGAAGAGCAGCGCCTGATTGAATAAAAAGGATGTTCTTGACTGTACCATCTTGCTGTGCCATGTCTTTCTTTCTATAAACAGGTGACTTAATAAAGACTCAGCTCTTAATGCCAGTATACTTGTCTTCATGTAACTAGTGCTGCATTACTATAAACTCTTAAAACGTTCCTGTTTGTAGACCAATCATGGTGAAAATTGGTGCTGTCTATGTGCTGCTTTCATCCTTCATTCTCAGTGAACTTGGGTTAAAACCACAGGTGGAGGAGGAGAGTGTATCAGCATGCAATGCAGTCAGAGGATGTGTCTTTTTTGTTAATACCACTCACACTAAAAGAGCAAAAAAGACAGTGTCTCCCATTAGGAGTCTGCCAGTCCGCCTCCACTTTGTTCCAAATTGAAATATGTCAACTTTTGGATGGGTTGCCATGAAAGTTGGTATACATATCCATGGTGCCCAGAGGATTAATGGACTGGTTGCACAGCAGACAATTTGACCAAATAACAGTAACAACGATCACTTCCATTAAGTGTACCAGTGACAGTGAACCAGCACTCACAACAGCAGGACCTCCCCTAAATAGTATGCAGCGATCATTAATAAACCTGTGAGTCCCCAGCTATAACATGTCAAAATGTCTGCTGCGGAACCAGTACACTTTGGTTATCCACTGACTTTTCATATAGCACCATCACCATGGTTTTGGTTTATGACTTTAGACATTCCCATCAGCCTCAGCTGCACTTTGTGTTTAGTGCTAATATGCAAATGTTTGCATGCTATACTGAGATTGTAAACATTAAAATTTGCTACACATCACCATGTTATCACTGTGACTGTGAGAATGTTAGACTCTTTGTTTACATCCTACGCATTTTAAAGCTTTAACAGTATTTATAAGTATTTGTAAGTTATAAGTATTTTTAAGGTTTTTTTTGAAACAGTGAAGCAAAGACAGTGTAGGTTTTCAAAGCAGACTTTAATTCATGGAAATATTATGGAAAGTGGCAAAAACTACATTCAGTCCAAATGTGCATTTAAGTAAACAAAAAAAAACATAACAAATTCCAGCATGGTAAAAGAATTTCTTTAAATAAATAGTGGCAACTGTATATACTCAAAGTGCTTTTACCCAGCCTTTATATTCATTTTGTGGTTATTTACAATAAGTTAATTAATTTTTTTTATAGCTATGTCCCTAAAATATCTTTTTAATCTCAGTTTGATTCAGAGTTTCTCAAAGGAACTATAAAGTAATTCGGAGTGTGTATGAAAAAAAGCAAAGCTCTAAATGCAGCTGCAAGTAATGATGATGATTGAAGGCTGAAATGATATCAAACAACAAACAACTCCGATGTGTTTCAGTGCAGTTGGGAACAGCATTTTGAAGTACCAATAAATGTTTGTTTTTAAAGGTCTAGTGTGTAACATTTAGGAGGATCTATTGACAGAAACGGAATATAATATCCATAGTTATCTTTTCATTAGTGTATAATCACCTGAAAATAAGAACTGTTGTTTTTTCGTTACCTTAGAATGAGCCGTTTTATCTACAGAGGGAG